CCCCCCCCCCCCCAAGTGAGGCTGGCGGCGATGCCGGCTGCTTCCTCCCCCCCAAGCGAGGGCCAGCGGCTTGCAGCCACCCAGGCCTCGCGGCCGCCCTTGCACCCAGCTGGCTGGCTCCGAGGCGGCGGTGAGGACGGATGCTTTCCCCCCCCCAAGCGAGGCTGGCGACGAGGCCAGCTGCCTCCCCCCCCTAAGTGAGGGCCAACGGCTTGCAGCCGGCCAGGCCTCGCACCCTCCCTTCCTCTCATGCGTCCGGCCGGCTGGCTTCGAGGCGGCGGTGACAGCGAGGCCAGCTGCAGAGCGTTCCCTGCGTGTGCGCAGGGAACGCTCTGTCAGTTTTGGGGGGTATCCCCCCGGGTTTTTTTTTAACTTTTCAGATTTTTGTGCACACCTGGGGACCACCCCACGTGTGCACAAAACTCCCCCTCCCCCCCAGGTGCCCCCGGTGCGCAGATTTAGCTATCCGCACACCAGGGGGCGACTTGGCTATTAGATATATAGATACGCAATGCTCTGTAGCAGTAGAGAGCCAGTTTGATGTACTGCTTAGGAGTGTGGATTCTAATCTGGGAGAACCGGGTTTGATTCCCCACTCCTCCATATGCAGCTGCTGGTGTGACCTTGGGTCAGTCACAGGTTCTCTCAGAGTGTTCTCTCAAGAACAATCCTCTCAGAGCTCTCTCAGCCCCACCTACCTCACAGGGTGTCTGTTGTGGGAAGGGGAAGGGAAAGGAGATTGTACTCTGTTCTGCATGTTTTACATTGTTTATATTCTAAGGATTTGAATTTTTATACAATACAGAATATTTCCTGAGGAAGCTCCGGTTTTTGAAACGTTCTTGTTATAAAGTCTGGAGACAAGGTTGATTTATTCTTATACAAGGATTTCCTGATAATTTGATGGGATTTGTTCATTGTTGCTTTGTAGTGTTTATTGGCAGCAATATATAGAAAACAATTTTTTCCTAAGTCTTGTTGACTACCTTGATTTGTGGGTCAGACTCTCACGACTGTTTTCTCAGTACCTATTTTTAAAGGAGATTGCAAGCCACCCTGACTCCCCATGCCTCCACTTGCAGCTGCTGGTGTGACCTTGGGTCAGTCACAAGTTCTCTCAGAGATGTTCTCTCAAAGGCCGCTCTAGAGAGAGCTCTCTCAGCCCCACCTGCCTCACAGGGTGAGGGTGTCTACTGTGGGGAGGGGAAGGAGTTTGTGAGCCGCTCTGAGACACCTTTGGGTAGTGACGGGCGGGGTATAAATCCAATCTCTTCTTCTTCTTCTTTTACCTCACAGGGTGTCTGCTGTGGGGAGGGGAAGGAGTTTGTGAGCCGCTCTGAGACACCTTTGGGTAGTGACGGGCGGGGTATAAATCCAATCTCTTCTTCTTCTTCTTTTACCTCACAGGGTGTCTGCTGTGGGGAGGGGAAGGAGTTTGTGAGCCGCTCTGAGACACCTTTGGGTAGTGACGGGCGGGGTATAAATCCAATCTCTTCTTCTCTCTAGAAAAGAGCAAGATTCGAGTAGCACCTTAAAGACGAACAAAATTTGTGGCAGGGGAAGAGCTTTCGTGAGTCACTGGTCAATGCTCCCTCTAAGCTGTGGAGTCTTGTGAGCAAAAATTCTACTTTGTGAGCTACTGGCATTAACGTTGTGAGCGAGCGATTTGGCTACTGCATAAATTAGTTTGCCCTGGAGCCATCCTTCCTGAGCCAAGACAAAAACCTGTGAGCCAGAGGCTAAAAAACTGTGAGCTAGCTCACACTAACTCAGCTTAGAGGGAACACTTAGCTGTGACCAATGTTCCCTCTGCTGTGGAGTTTTGTGAGCAAAAAATCTGCTTTGTGAGCTACTGGCATTAAAGTCGTGAGCAAGCAATTTGGCTACTGCATAACTTAGTTTGCTCTGGAGCCCTCCTTTCTGAGCGAAGACAAAAACCTGTGAGTCGGAGGCTAAAAAACTGTGAGCTAGCTCACACTAACTCAGCTTAGAGGGAACACTTAGCCGTGACTCATAAAAGCTCCTCCCCTGCCACAAATGTTGCTGGTCTTTAAGGTGCTATTGGACTCTTGCTCTTTTCTACTGCTACAGACAGACTAACACGGCGACCCATCTTGATCTACTGCAATGCTCTGTAACGAGACATCAACATGCGGCCTATCGAAACCCCTCAAACGGCTTTACCAGGGATCACTCGGTGAACCTTCTTCGAAGCGTGTGTTTCCCACCGTTTCCAATTCGGTCAGCAAAAACTGCACAGCCAGCTTACTGGCTTTCTTCTTCTTTTTGACTTCCAGATGATAAATCACTTCAACTCTGCGAAAAGGACAAACAGGATTCGTTTCAGCTGAGAAGCCCGCAATGTATAACATCCAAGCAGGGCTTTTTTTGTAGAAAAAGCCCAGCAGGAACTCATTAGCATAATAGGCCACACCCAATGGCAGATACTTATTAGCATATTAAACCACACCCCGATGGTGCGGCTCATTCGCATATTAGGCCACACCCCCATGCCTTCCCTTGGCTTGCCCGGGTGCTCTGCGGCTGCGGGGAGCCCGGGCAAGCCGACCCTTGGAGGGGAGGGGAGGCAGTGACTTGCCTGGGCGTCCCAGGAGCAGGGCCTCCCCTGGCTCACCCACCTCAGAGTCATTGGGAGGGTCTCTCTCCAGGCCTTCCCTCTGTAGCCACGCACGCAGAGGTTTTGGCTGTAGTGGGCGTGGCCAACTCTGAAGCCACCCAGAACGCCGTTCCTGTGCGTTCCTGCTCAAAAATAGCCCTGCATCCAAGGAAAACGGCACTCAATCCAGAGGGCCAGATGGGAAGTTGAGTGCCTTCATTGTGTGAGCTAGATGCTTAGAGCTCTTGCTCCTTCCTCTTCTCACATGGCAGTGGTTTATATTTTGGCTTTTATCGGGGCAGACTGGCCATTAAGGCCCATGGGAAAATTGCAGCTGGGTGGATGGCCTAGCGGACAACATCATCCCATTCAGAGTCGCCCTTGCAGCCACCACTGCAGCATCCCAGTTGCCCAGGCCCCGTGCCAGAGGGAGACGCACGGCTTTTGCTCCTTTCTACTTGATGTTTGGGAGTGGGCCAGGCCTGTGGCTACAGTGGGGCTTTGGGGGCGCTGCCCCCTTTCTTAAAGGAATGGCCCCACTAGAATTTCTCCTGTGGATGCTTTTTTCAATCATTTAAAAACATTTTTAAAAGACGTGGACCCCTTTAAGCAGATTGGGGTGCTGTAGTTGACTAATTCCTGCATGGAGCAAGGGGGTTGGAGTAGGTGACCTCTAGGATCCCTTCTAACTCTGTCTCAAGAAACTGGTCTCCTTTAAGAGCGTTTTTCTGCCTAAGTGTTAGCGTTCTTGACTATAGAAGTCATCACTCCTACCCGCCAGCTTGTTAGCAGAATTGTTGCTTGGGCTGGCAGAAGTGATTAACATGCAGCCGCTGGGAACTGTCATCTAAAGTGGCTGACAGCTTGCAATTTAGAGATCTGTCCTGGTAACAGCTTTCTTTTGCCTAAATGGTTAATAGGTTAAGGGTGATTGCTAGCATAAGAACACCTATGTAGAATAGACAGTTAAGATCCAGAGAAGAGATGGCTTATCTATGTTGTTTGTCCTTTGTTTCTGTAAATAAAATCTGACATGTTTTCATACAAAGTAGAGTGAGTTTACCGGCCAAACCCGGAGAAGTATTTCCAGTGCCACGCCTACCATCTACAAGAGAATTTATCCCCCCCCCCACCTTCTAAGCCTGCTATCGTCACATGCTGGGGCTAAGATTTGCAGAAGCCTCTACGCTTTTATTTTAAAAGGCTTGATTCCGCAGTAGCTGAGTCATAACCGTCAGAATACTGGCTTTTCTGAAAACTTCACCCCCCCCCCCGAAAAAAATTGCTCCGCAAGCCACAAATATCCTGGCTACTGGCCTGGGGTGGGCCGGGTTAGCCCGATCTCATCAGATCTCAAAGCGAAGCAGGGTCGGCCCTGGTTAGCGCTTGGACAGGAGACCGCCAAGGAAGTCCAGGGTCACTGCACCACCCATTTGTCTGTTTGTTTTTTTCCTTGGATTTATATCCCGCCCTACCCCGAAGGCTCAGGGCGGCTTACAGGGGCACTATGTGCCAAGATTGTAACAGTAAAACACATAATATAAAACAATAAATTACACTAAAATACAGTAACAAGTTTACAATACAAGCTTACAAGCTTAACCAAGATGGGTAGATCTAAAAATCCATGGTAGCTTCTTGAAATCTTGTCATCCAAATCATGCCTGGACGCCTCGTCCCTCCAGTGGGATCCAGACAATCTTGATGGTACTACGATAGTGCATAGGGGTGGTGGTGGAATAGTGGTGGCGGCGGCTCCTACTCAAAGGCCTGGCGGAAGAGCTCCGTCTTGCAGGCCCTGCGGAACTGAGAAAGGTCCCGCAGGGCCCGCATCTCCTCCGGGAGCTCCTTCCACCAGGTAGGAGCCGCCACCGAAAACACCCTGGTCCTGGTCACCGCAAATTTAACATCTCTAGGGCCTGGAATTTCCAGGAGATGTTGACTCCCCAACCTTAGTGCCCTTGGGGGAACATATGGAGAAAGGCGGTCCCCTACAGGGTTGCTGTAGATTGGCTGTGACGTGATGGTGCTTTCCACCGTCACAACGATGCGAGTATGCAAGGACAATGTGACCCCTCTTTTCTCTCCCCCTATCTTACGGGGCCATGAAAGAGACACAAGTTGACAAGAACTGCATGGACTGTGTGATGAGACTCTGGACGATTCTGCATTGGCTTTTCCCTCTGTTGTTTTACCAAACCCCACAATGGAACAGAAATTCTCCTCTACACTGCTTGCAGCTTTCACTTTCTTTGATCATTGGGTTTTATGGTACCTCCTGCATAGATTAAAGGGCCTTCAGGGGTGACTTCGCAGCCCCGGGGTATCTGAATGTGGTTTTGAGCTGTGCCTTTGGTAAAACAATGGAGGGAAAAGCCAATGCAGCATCGCCTTCTCTCTCTCTTTCAGCCCTGGTGCAATCCTTGGCCAAAGTCATATCACCTCCAAGCAGGGGTCGTTTCCTGCAGGAGCGCACAGGAGCGGAGCTCCGGCAGTAAAGAGCTCAGGGGGCGGGCACATGCAACAAGCCCCACCCCCTCCTCCCAGCAGCCCTCAGTCAGAGCAAGAAGCAGCCAGGTAAGTTGCAGAGCCCCCCCGATCCAAAACAGTCCAGTGGCACCTTTAAGACCAAGTTTTATTCAGGTACAAGCTCTCCCTCCTCTGTGAGGGCAGATCTGCACATTCTCCCTCCCCCCAACAGCTAGCAATCCAAAACAGTCCAGTGGAGCCTGAGCAGTGGGTGTTGCCTTCTGACACACTTCCAGTGGTGTCAGGGGGTGTGACACATGCAAATAAGCTATGCTAATGAGCTCCTGCACCTCTTTTTCTACGAAATGACCCCTGCCTCCAAGTCCCAAATGCGTTCACTGCTGGCAGCATCCCTTGCGCCTTCCGCGGAACGTACGTACTCCTCTAGCTTTTTGTTCCAGAAGGCGATCCTTTTTTTGAGGCAGTCCAATTTTTGCAGGAGCTGCCTCTCCAGACTGGCTTCCTCGCTGGCCTCGTTGGGACTTTCACCGTCCCCATTCGAGTTTTCCCCTTCGAAGCTCCTGGAGAGGCTGGTCTGTCCTCTGCCAGATGTCTGCAGGCCCTCCAGATCACGTTCCAGCTGTTGAACAAGAGGACGAGGGCATCAGGAGCCAGTTGCGGTCAATGACATAGAAGAACATGACATTGCTGAGCTTGCAGGAAGAGCCCTGGTGCTGGATGAGACCTGGGATCGAATCCAGCCTCCTACTCCCAAACTCTGGGAAGCTGGCAAGCGGGGCTTCTTTCTTTTTTAAAATCCTTTTCTTTAAGTTTAAATTATACTATAGCTACAATTAACAATCTGTTAAAGGTTTCCCTTGCTCGAAAGCCAGTCGAATCCGACTCTGGGGGGAGGTGCCCATCTCCTTTTCCCAGCCGAAGAGCCAGCGCTGTCAGAAGACTTTTTCTGTGGTCATGTGGCCGGCGTGACTAAACACGGAGGGGCAGAGGTAAGGAGCGTGACGCAGTGGGGGGCCCGGCATCCTCCCAGGGTAGGACAGCGTTCATCCCTGGCGGGGCTCGGTCCCCAAATGCCCTACTGTGGCTACGGGCTTGCCGTGCGCCCTTCAACAAGACATTTATTTATTTTATTTGTTTATTAATTCGATTTATACCCCACCCTCCCTGCAATGCCAGGGATTGGACCTTGGACCCCCTGGGTACAAGGCAGATGGTCTGCCACTGAGCCACAGCCCCACCCGGGCCAGCTGGAGATCAGAATGCGAGCCAGAATGCAAGGTGGGCCTCGGTACCACTTGGCTTACGTGCTTGATGTGGCAGTGGAAATGCTTAATCTGCTCTTCGGGTAGCTTCTGCAGCTTGCATTTCCTTTCTCTGAGCTTCTCGAGCTCTTCCTCCAGCTGCCGTTGGACACTCTTGATGCGCATGTTGTAGTACATCACCTTCTTCATCACGGTGGTCTTCCGGGACAAAAGGAAAAACAAAGGAAGGGTGATTTTGTTTGGTAGTCCAAGAGAGCCAAATGTTAACAGTGATTACTTGGGGTTTCGTTACCATTAATATTAGAAGAAGAAGAGATTGGATTTATACCTCGCCCTTCACTACCCAAAGGGGTCTCAGAGCGGCTTACAAGCTCCTTTCCCTTCCCCTCCCCACAACAGATACCCTGTGAGGTAAAAGAAGAAGAAGAAGAGACTGGATTTATACCCCGCCCTTCACTACCCAAAGGGGTCTCAGAGCGGCTTACAAGCTCCTTTCCCTTCCCCTCCCCACAACAGATACCCTGTGAGGTAAAAGAAGAAGAAGAAGAGACTGGATTTATACCCCGCCCTTCACTACCCAAAGGGGTCTCAGAGCGGCTTACAAGCTCCTTTCCCTTCCCCTCCCCACAACAGATACCCTGTGAGGTAAAAGAAGAAGAAGAAGAGACTGGATTTATACCCCGCCCTTCACTACCCAAAGGGGTCTCAGAGCGGCTTACAAGCTCCTTTCCCTTCCCCTCCCCACAACAGATACCCTGTGAGGTAAAAGAAGAAGAAGAAGAGACTGGATTTATACCCCGCCCTTCACTACCCAAAGGGGTCTCAGAGCGGCTTACAAGCTCCTTTCCCTTCCCCTCCCCACAACAGATACCCTGTGAGGTAAAAGAAGAAGAAGAAGAGACTGGATTTATACCCCGCCCTTCACTACCCAAAGGGGTCTCAGAGCGGCTTACAAGCTCCTTTCCCTTCCCCTCCCCACAACAGATACCCTGTGAGGTAAAAGAAGAAGAAGAAGAGACTGGATTTATACCCCGCCCTTCACTACCCAAAGGGGTCTCAGAGCGGCTTACAAGCTCCTTTCCCTTCCCCTCCCCACAACAGATACCCTGTGAGGTAAAAGAAGAAGAAGAAGAGACTGGATTTATACCCCGCCCTTCACTACCCAAAGGGGTCTCAGAGCGGCTTACAAGCTCCTTTCCCTTCCCCTCCCCACAACAGATACCCTGTGAGGTAAAAGAAGAAGAAGAAGAGACTGGATTTATACCCCGCCCTTCACTACCCAAAGGGGTCTCAGAGCGGCTTACAAGCTCCTTTCCCTTCCCCTCCCCACAACAGATACCCTGTGAGGTAAAAGAAGAAGAAGAAGAGACTGGATTTATACCCCGCCCTTCACTACCCAAAGGGGTCTCAGAGCGGCTTACAAGCTCCTTTCCCTTCCCCTCCCCACAACAGATACCCTGTGAGGTAAAAGAAGAAGAAGAAGAGACTGGATTTATACCCCGCCCTTCACTACCCAAAGGGGTCTCAGAGCGGCTTACAAGCTCCTTTCCCTTCCCCTCCCCACAACAGATACCCTGTGAGGTAAAAGAAGAAGAAGAAGAGACTGGATTTATACCCCGCCCTTCACTACCCAAAGGGGTCTCAGAGCGGCTTACAAGCTCCTTTCCCTTCCCCTCCCCACAACAGATACCCTGTGAGGTAAAAGAAGAAGAAGAAGAGACTGGATTTATACCCCGCCCTTCACTACCCAAAGGGGTCTCAGAGCGGCTTACAAGCTCCTTTCCCTTCCCCTCCCCACAACAGATACCCTGTGAGGTAAAAGAAGAAGAAGAAGAGACTGGATTTATACCCCGCCCTTCACTACCCAAAGGGGTCTCAGAGCGGCTTACAAGCTCCTTTCCCTTCCCCTCCCCACAACAGACACCCCTGTGAGGTAGGTGGGGCTGAGAGAGCTCTGACCGAAACTGCTCTTTTTTCAAGGACAGCTCTTATCAGAACTATGGCTTGCCCAGGGGCATCCAGCCAGGTGCAAGTGGCGGAGGGGGGAATCAAACCCGGTTCTCCCAGATTACAGTCCGCGCACTTAACCACGACACCAAACCACTACACCAAGCCACTTTTTAAAACTTCTCCCCCCGACAGGTTAGATTTTAACCTTGTTTCCTGTTATTTATTTCGTAAACTTGTATGCCACTTGTCCGGAGACCTGCTCGAGGCGCCTCACAACTAACAAAATGAAGCCATCAAAGCGAAAGCATTCAAAAAGCAGGCCCAACACAATCAAAACGAGTTGCGGGTGGAAGAAACGTCCATCTGTGGTGAAAGAGCATGTCCTGGATCCCCCCGCATTTCACCACCATGTTCTTTTCTGGGATCCACTGACCTGCCCACCCCGGAGGCATACGGGCGGTAGGCCCTGCAGGTAGCAGTGGGAGAAGTTCACCACCATGAACATTGTTCCACTTGCACTGGATCTAGATCCTTTCACACATCACCAGATGGAAAATAAGGTTGCCAGGTGGGATTCATTTATTTATGGTACGGTGGAGCTACACACAGGAAGCATATAATAATATAATATACCCCTACCTGAGGGACCGCCTTTCCCCACACGTTCCCCAGAGCGCACTGAGGTCGGGGACTCAAAATCACCTGACGGTCCCTGGCCCCAAGGATGCCAGACTGACTATCACCAGATCTAGGGCCTTCTCAGTGGCGGCTCCATACTGGTGGAATGAGCTCCCGGAGGACATCAGGGCCCTGCGGGACCTTCTACACTTCTGCAGGGCCTGTAGAACCGAGCTCTTCCGCCAGGCTTTCGATTAGGAGCCGCCACTGAACGAGCTACTGAACATCTATTACTGGCACTTTCTTTGGCATACTGGTCTAGTCATACGGGGCCAACCACAACGATCGCCATCTGCACTTTATCGTTTGAATTTAATCTGCACTTTATATTTTATTGTTAGAATGTTATCTGTTTTTATTGTAACTTATTATTGTACGCCGCCTTGAGCCTGCTTGTCAGGGAAAGCGGGATAGAAATCGAAATAAATATAAAAATAAATAATATGAACTACATAACCAAGTTGATACAACGGGCATGCAGACGGATTGGGCAATCCCCCGAAATACTAGTATCTGGATTTTCAAGTCCACTCAGTTGCATCAGGGGAGAGTTCAAAGAGCTTCGTCACATCTCTCTGGGAAAGCACGACAGAACAAAAAGGGAAAGTGGAAAAGCCCAGGGCAGGAAACGGAGTTCCGGCTGGCTCCTGAGTTGGCCACGCCCAGCAGGAACTCATTAGCATAACAGGCCACCCCCAACAGCAGAAACTCATTAGGATTGGCTACATTAGGGGTGTGTGGCCTAACATGCAAAGAAGTTCCTGCTACAAAAAAAGCCCTGGGTTCTGACAACAAAGTAAACAGAATAAGAAGCAAAACGTGGGTGTGGCTGGATGACCACATTTCTGGTAACATGGGGTGTGTGGCCTAATATGCCAATGAGCTGTGATACTAGGGCCTAATATGCTAATAGGTTTCTGCTGTTGGGTGTGGCCTATTATGCTAATGAGTTCCTGCTGGGCTTTTTCTACAAAAAGAGCCCTGGAAAGCCCTAAGAACAGTTCTCAGGGTGCCATCCACCCCTCACCTCAGTTGAATATCCGGCACGTCCTCTATTAGAGGACTATATTATTTAATGGATTTTTGGAACTATACAAGGCTTACATAAAACTGTATTTATTTAGTTTTACACGGTGTCCTTTTTTGTTCTTTGTGGTGTACTGTATACACCCCATATGGTCCCTTGTGCGTTCTGATCAATCAATTAAAACATACCCCAAATCAAGAAACTGGTTGTGTATCCGGCTTACGTTGCAAATAAAATTATTATTATTATTATTATTGTGAAGCCCTCTTACTTGGGGAGGTCTAGTTTTACTTTTAAAATGTTCTTTATGTTTTATTCTGTAGGGTATTCTAGCTGCCACCAGGAATTTCTATAAATTCCAATTCTTCTCTTTGCTTCTGGGGTTGGTATTGTAGCACTGGGTCTAGGCCTTTCGAGGAACTATGTGGTCTGCGGAAGAATTCTTTACTTAGCTGGTAAACTTGAAGTAAATAGGATTTATTTAACGAAAGTATAAACACGAGGGTGAACAAGGTAAACTGTACTGGGAATGATTTGACCAAATGCTTGGTGTCTCTCACAAGCCTCTCCTCTACTGACAGGGAGGATAAAGCCACTTTGTAACAATATTTCCCGGTACTTTTCTCAAGCTCTCAGCTTTCAATTGTAACTCTTATATCACAGACTTAACCATCTGCTTAACACAGAGACTTCAGGACAAAACTCATATATTAACTGCTTTTAACACAGCACACTCTGCTCTCTCTAACTGTTTTACTCAACTGTCATACCTAACAGACCCCCTTCAACTGACCCTCTTGACTGACATATCGGTTCATCCACACAGCATCCATTCCAAAACCCCTCCCCCTCTCTGTCACTCACCAACCATATCACTTGCTTGAGTCCAGCATCCTAGTCTGTCATACATCCATACAAACCACTTTTAAAGACACACACACCCAAAACATGAAATGTTACAATTATTTTTTAAAAGTATTCTGAACCCACCTCGGCCAGCTCCTTGATCTGCTTTGAAGAGACATCGTAAGTGTCGAGCCGTTGGAGCTGAGGGATATGGTACAGAACATGCGTTGCGTAATTGCAGAGGTGACAAACTGGGTTGGGCTCGTACTGGGGGTCGTTCAGACACAGGTCTTTTAAGTTACACAGTCTTGCCAAATTGGTGATTTCCTTTAAAGAAATTTTAAAAAGCCCAACAATCACGACACACTTAAAGAAACTCTATGTTTTCCCGCTTGGAGAAGTACAGAAGACAAATCCCTCCCTCCCTTTCAACTAAGTGGGGACAGGGGTTTGTCTGCTTTTGGGACCCCTGATCTGCCAACCCTGATCTGGCTAGCAGGGGGAACACCACCCCCAAAGTGCCCCATCTGCAACAACATGCCTGGCGCCAGGGGTCGTTTCGCAGAAAAAGAGCTAGGGGAACTCATTAGCATAACTCATTAGCATATGCCACACCCCCTGACATCACCGGAAGTGTGTCATAAGGCCACACCCCCTGACATCACCGGAAGTGTGTCATAAGGCCACAAACCCCGCCCCCAACGGTCCCGGCCGCCGCCGCCTGCCTTGCAGCTCCACTGCCGAGCCCCATGAGGGGCCCGGTGGTGGACCTGCAAGGCCGGCGGGAGTGCAAGGAAGCCCCGCGAAGGCCCTCCCTGGCCCCAGGCAGGCAGGGATGGGGAGAGGCAGGGGGAAAGCAACTTACCCTTCCTCTTCTCCTGCCTCCTCCTGGCTGAATGAGGGCCGGAAGCGGGGCGGCTGGAAGCGGGGGGCGGGGCTTCGTCATGGGCCCCGCCCCCCCTACCTCACCCAGGGGGACAGTGATCCCCCGCGATCCCCCCCGAAATGACCTCTGGAGGTGATGTCATCGCACAGGGCACATTGCAGGGGAACGGACACTCTATCATTTGAGGAAAACTCTATGGTGCACACCGAGAAATCCCAGGCAGAGAGAAGGACCCCCCACCGCATGCTGGAGGGGGGCGCTCTAGCATTTGAGGAAAAACTCTATGGTAACCATAGAGGCTTTTATCAAAGGCTAGAGCGTCCCCACCCTCAACATGCCCTGCATGATGATGTCATCTCCAGGTGACGTCATTGTGCTGGGCACGTTGGCACAGACAGGGCTTTTGGGGGGTGGGGTTCCCCCCGCCAGCTGGCTCAGTGGTAGCGGATTGGGCCCCCAAAAAGTGGGTAAACCCCCACCCCTTTCAGGGGGGAATGGCAACCCTACACTCATGCACTACATAAATGCGAAGTACTGTCAATTGGACAAAGGCCTTTTCCTTTTCAAGTAGGACAAATGCAACGAGTGATGCAGCCACATGGAAAACATAAAAAGTGACACCGAGAACCCCACACGTACCTTGAAGGAACACACTCTGTTCCCGGACAGGTTTATCTTTTCTATTTCTTCATTGGGATCCAAGCAGTGTCCTAAAACACAACGGGAGGGAAGTAATGCGGAGCGATATTTAGGTTTCGTTTTGATTTCCTCCCCGGCTCTGTTTTGGGTTGCCAGACTCCAGGTACAGCCTGGAGATTTCGCGGTATTACACCTGCTCTCCAGACTACCGAGAAAAAAGAATAAGAAAACGGGTGACGTGGAGGGTGGACTCTATGGCACTATACCCTGCCGAGGTCCCTCCCCTTCTCAAATCCTGCCCTCCTCAGGCTCCACCCCCAAATTTCCATGAAGTCCCTGACTTGGAGCTGGCAGCCCTCCGTCCCAAAGACTTAGGGTGATTTCCCACAAGCGCTGCTCCGCGCTCACTCTTCTCTTTGGCCCGATGGTACGTGTCAATTTCACACAAGCTGCTGCGCGGCTGCATTTTGCCTCGCAGCTTCGCGCGGATTTCCCCCGCGTCTACTCAATCCTGTTTTTTGAGGACTGAGTAGACGCAGGGAAAATCGCACGAAGCTGCGGGGCAAAATGTGGGCGCGCAGCAGCTTGTGTGAAATTGACACGTACCATCGGGGCAAAAGGGAGGAGTGAGCGCGGAGCGGCACTTGTGGGAAATCACCCTTAGAATAGCTTGCGTGTGTCAACCGCTGTCAAGTTGCAGCTGACTTCTGGGGGCCGCACAGGGTTTTCAGGGCAAGGGGCTCACAGAGGTGGTTTGCCATGGCCTGCCTCTGCGTAGCGACCAGGGCTCCCTCTAAGCTGAGTTTGTGTGAGCCAGCTCACGGTTTCTTAGCCTCCGGCTCACGCAGTTCTGTCTCCGCTCAGGAAGGGAGGGTTCCAGAGCAGACGAATTTAATGCAGCAGCCAAATGGCTCGCTCACAACTTTAATGCCAGGAGCTCACAAAGTAGACTTTTTGCTCACAAGACTCCGCAGCTTAGAGGGAGCCTTGGTAGCGGCCCTGGAATTCCTTGATGGTCTCCCATCCCAACACTAACCAGGCCTGACCCTGCTTCGCTTCTTTTTATTTTTTTGCAAAAAAATTCACAGCTCGGTAGGCTCCTGTAGCGATGATTGCGCCACCTTCTTCGGGAGAGGAGATCAAAGTGCAAAACAAGTCTCTTCCGAGGCTTGATCGCACCAACCTCAACTCTCTCTCTGGTCTTAAGAACATAAGAACATAAGAGACGCCAGTGTTGGATCAGGCCAAAGGCCCATCCAGTCCAACACTCTGTGTCACACAGTGGCCAGAAATACCAGTGCCATCAGGAGGTCCAGCAGTGGGGCCAGGACATTAGAAGCCCTCCCACTGTTGACCCCCCCCAAGCACCAAGAAGACAGAGCATCACTTGCCCCAGAGCCCCTAGCTATACCTTGTGGCTAATAGCCACTGATGGACCTCTGCTCCATATGCTTATCTAATTCCCTTTTGAAGCCATCCATGCTTGTAGCACCCACCACTTCCTGTGGCAGTGAATTCCAAGTGTTAATCACTCTTTGGGTGAAGAAGGACGTCCTCTCCAAGCTAAAGAGCCCTAAGCGCTTTAACCTTTCCTCATAGGGAAAGTGTTCCAACCCTTTTATCATTCGAGTTGCCCTTTTCTGCACTTTTTCCAAAGCTATAATATCCTTTTTAAGGTGTGGTGCCCAGAACTGCACACAGTATTCCAAATGAGGTCTCACCATTGATTTATATAGGGGCATTATTATATTGGCTGATCTGTTTTCAATACCCTTCCTAATAATCCCCAGCATAGCATTGGCCTTCTTTATTGCAGTCACACACTGTCTCGACATTTTCAGTGAGTTATCCACTACAACTCCAAGATCTCTCTCTTGCTCAGTCTCTGCCAGTTCAGACCCCATCAATGTGTATTTATATTTAGGATTTTTGGCTCCAATGTGCATCACCTTGCACTTGGCCACATTGAACCCCATTTGCCATGTTGACGCCCACTCGCCCATCCTTGACAGATCCCCTTGGAGTGCCTCACAATCCTCACTGGTTTTCACCACCCTGAACAACTTTGTATCATCCGCAAATTTAGCCACTTCACTGCTTACTCCCATCTCCAAATCATTAATGAACAAGTTAAAAAGCAGTGGACCAAGTACTGATCCCTGCGGTACCCCACTGCTTACCACCCTCCACTGAGAAAATTGCCCACCTACACTCACTCTCTGTTTTCTATGAACTAGCCAGTTTTTGATCCATAAAAGGACTTGTCCTTCTATCCCATGATTTTTGAGCTTACTTAGGAGCCTTTGATGAGGAACTTTATCAAAAGCTTTCTGGAAGTCAAGGTAAATAATATCTATTGGATCCCCCTTGTCCACATGTTTGTTCACCCCCTCAAAGAACACTAACAGGTTAGTGAGACAAGATCTTCCCTTACAGAAACCGTGCTGAGTCTGCCTCAATAGGTTTTGTTCATCTATGTGCCTACTAATTCTTTCCTTAATAATGGTTTCCACCAATTTACCCGGTATCGACGTCAGACTGACTGGCCTGTAATTTCCCGGATCTCCTCTGGAACCCTTTTTAAAGATGGGAGTGACATTAGCTACCTTCCAATCCTCAGGAATGGAGGCAGATTTTAAGGAAAGATTACATATCTTTGTCAGGAGATCTACAAGTTCACATTTGAGTTCTTTCAGAACTCTCGGATGTATGCCATCTGGGCCTGGTGATTTTTCAGTTTTTAAGTTGTCTATCAGTTTTAGGACCTCCTCTCTCGTCACCTCAATCTGACTCAGGTCTTTCAACACCCCTCCTGAAATCAGTGGTTCTGGAGTGGGCAAGCACTTCTCATCTTCCACAGTGAAGACGGAGGCAAAAAATGCATTTAGCTTCTCAGCCATTTCCCTATCATCCTTCAATACTCCTTTTACCCCTTGGTCGTCCAAGGGCCCCACTGCCTCCCTGGCTGGTTTCCTGTTTCTAATGTATTTGAAGAAAGTTTTATTGTTGGTTTTTACGTTTTTTGCTATATGCTCCTCATATTCCCTTTTTGCCTGCCTGACCTCAGACTTGCATTTTATTTGCCATAGCCTGTGTTCCGTTTTATCAGCCTCACTGTGACTAGCTTTCCACTGCTTAAAGGAATTCTTTTTACTTTTTACAGCCTCCATTACTCTGTTTGTTAACCATGCAGGCTTTTTCCTATACCTTTTTGTGCCTTTCCTAACCTGCGGAATATATATTTTTTGAGCTTCTAGGATCGTAGTTTTAAATAGATCCCAAGCTTCCCCAATTGTTTTGACCCTTTCTACTTTTCCTTTCAGTTTCCTCCCCACGTGTCCCCTCATATCAGAGAAATTACCCCTTTTAAAGTTAAAAATGGTTGTGTGAGTCTTTTTGGCCAATTCTCTATTTGTACAAATGATGAACTCAACAACATTATGATCACTGTTTCCAAGCGGTGCAATCACTTGATGCTTGCTCGACTCTCCCCCTGCCTGGGGAAGGTTGCGTTGGGCTGTATAGTAGCCCAAACTGTCAGCAGAAGCCCCCGTCCACCCTGTACAGTTACAAGGTGCGTCAAATCACCATTTTCCCCGACCGGAAGCCCGCTTCTGAGATGTGATGAGATTGGGCTAGCCTGGGCCATCCGGGTCAGGGCCACAACAGCTTAACAGACTGCAATAAAAAAGCCCTGGAGTTGGAGGGCAAAGGGTTATCTTTTACAGATTATTTATTTATTTTATTCAATTTCTATCCTGCCCCTCCCCATGAACGGGCGCAGGGTGGGTTAGAAGATCACACAAAAATCATGACGGCAATAACATGTACTTTTCCCCATACGTTCCCCCCCGAGAGCACTGTGGTCTCGAACGCAACACCGCCGGGGCCCCCCCCCCCGGACCTAGGGATGCCAGGCTGGCGGTAACTAGGACCAGGGCGTTCTCTCTGGCGGCGGCAACGCTGTGGAACGAGCTCCCCAATGAGATTAGAGTTCTACAGGACCTCCAGCAGTTCTGTAGAGCCGTGAAAAAAGAGCTGTTTCGGCCAGGCGTTCGGATAAGAACTGACTGCACCAGTTGGGTTGCACTAGCACTTTATTACTGTAATGTATTCAACAAGCTGCCATTGAATGCATAATGTGTTGTGAAAACATCTAATTGAAATGCTATGTTAAGCTTCGTCCTGGGCTAGGATCCAAATACATCCAATCACATTGCTAGCCCAGGAAGCACCTAACCAATCACTTTTCAGCAAGCTCCCTGAGCAGGAACGTCCGTGATTGGTCCTTATGTATGCAACCTTATTGGTTGGTATTTGTACAGTGGGTGTGGCTACATTAGCCGGGAGAGTTTAAAAGCAGGACAGCTGCAATGTAAAAGCAGTTCTGGCTATCAGATGTTGATCCGTGTTGGAGTTGTGTTTGAGTTGCTGAATAAAGCTGAATCTTTGCTGAATCACTCTCTGACTACTTTGTTAAGTGAGCGACTTAACAATGACAGGATGCCGCTGTATTTATTCAGCTTAATTGTATTTATTGGAATTTTATGGAATTGTATTTCATATCTTCTATTTGCGGGTTTTAAATTGTATGTTGGTTTTATATTGTTTGTAAGTCGCCCTGAGCCGCTTTGGCGGGAGGGCGAGGTAGAAATTTAATAAATAAATAAATAAACCGTTATGAAGTGATACAGGAGACGACTCCTATTACCTATCAGTTTTTACATATCACCTACCAATTTTACTGATGGAGTTCCCAGCAAGGTTGAGTTCCTTCAAACTCCGCAAAGTGGACAACCCCTGTAAGGACAAAGAAGTCCTATCATACTGAGAATCCTTGGGGAAATTCATTCATTTATTTTTTTTAATTATCTCCCATCTCCATCTTCGCTCAATAAAAACGCAACAACAATGAATAGCCAATAAACAACAAATGAATAAAACCCCATGTCATGATCTGGGCTGTGCCACCTAGGCCCAGGGAGCCTGGCTAGCAGTAGGTGAGGCTGGGCCTACAACTCCCAGAAGCCCCTGAGAGGTTTTGGAGCCAATATTCACCAATAGGAAAAGAGGAGGGCTTAGAATAAAAGATCTGGAGCAGCAGGAAAAGCTGTTCTTTTTCCCAGAGGGCAGAGCCAGAAGGAAGGCTGCTGCAGCGGAGAAACATGGACGGCTTCAAAAGGGAATTAGATAAGCATATGGAGCAGAGGTCCATCAGTGGATATTAGCCACAAGGTATAGCTAGGGGCTCTGGGTCAAGTGATGCTCTGTCTTCTTGGTGCTTGGGGGGGGGGTCAACAGTGGGAGGGCTTCTAATGTCCTGGTCCCACTGGTGGACCTCCTGATGGCACCTGGTATTTCTGGCCACTGTGTGACACAGAGTATTGGACTGGATGGGCCTTTGGCCTGATCCAACACTGGCGTCTCTTATGTTCTTATGTCTCTTAACAGGGGCAGAGCGCAAGCTTAGCAGTTAACCAAGTCCGTACACATTACCAACTGAGACGCCTGGAAGGAACACTAGTATCCTACAAGGATTAACAGTTATAGGAACCAGCTCGGTCTTCTGGATCTGTTTCACATGCCCTTATCAAGGGAAGGGGGGGTGTCGTCATCTCATGAAATTAGGGGCATGGCAACCACAGTAAGGGTCTTTCCCGTGGTTACACTCTATTTATGGGGTGCCTTTCCTCCTCACAGGGCAGTATTTACTTATTTCCAGGGCTTTTTTGGTAGAAAAAGCCCAGCAGGAACTCATTAGCATAATAGACCACACCCAACAGCTGAAACTAATTAGCCTATCAGGCCACACCCCAACAGTGCAGTTCATTAGCATAGTAGGCCACACCCCATGCCTTCCCTTGGCTTGCCTGGCACCCCACGGCTGCGGGGAGCCCAGGCAAGCCCCCAGTTGAAGGGAAGGGAAGGCAGTTTAAACTTGCCCTGGCTGCAGCCCTCAGACAGGCCGGAGAAGTCATGGGGAGGTATTTAAATGCCTCCCCGACCCTTCCAGGCCCCCCTCCTGGCCCGCCCACCTCGGAGTCACTGGGGTGTGTGTGTCGCTCTCCAGGCCTTCCCTCTGTAGCCACACACACAGAGGTTTGGGCTGTAGTGGGCGTGGCCAACTCTGAAGCCAGCCGGAACGCCGCTCCTGTGCGTTCGTGCCCCAAAATAGCCCTGCTTATTTCCCTTTAGACAACAAGTCAAAACTATCTTAGTCAGACGGTGTTATATTGTGATGCTGTTTTCTCTCTGATTTATGGACCACACCTCCTGTTTCTGCTCCGCCTGACTGTTAAAGTAAAGGTAAAGGTTTCCCTTGCTCGAAAGCCAGGCAAATCCAGCCCAGATCATGACATGGGGTTTTATTCACTCTAGGGTTGCGGTGCTCCTCTCCGTTTCCAAGCCGAAGAGCCAGCGCTGTCCGAAGACGTTTCCGTGGTCATGTGGCCGGCATGACTAGATGCCGAGGCGCACGGGACGCTGTGACCTTCCCACCGAAGTGGTCCCTATTTATCTACTTGCCATTTCTTGCTTTTGAACTGCTAGGTTGGCAGGTGCTGGAACTAGAGACAGGAGCTCACTCCGTCATGCGGCACCCGGATCTCGAACTGCTGAACTACCGACCTTCCAGTCTGCAGTTCAGCGTCTTAACCACTTGAGCCACCGCAGCTCCTACTTGCATCTAATTTATATTTTGATAGGTACAGGTGGTCTGAAGCAGCAGAACAAAGTCGGAGTCCAGTGGCACCTTTAAGACCAACAAAGTTTAATTCTGGGTATAAGCTTTTGTGTGCAAGGCACACTTCTTCAGATACACTGAAACAGACTTGGGCAACTATTACATATAGACTGAGAGAGGGAGGGAGGCAGGAAGGGCTAATTGGGAGTCAAGATGTATAAGTAACCGAGTGATAAGTATCGCAAAGACTGGATTAAAGTAGTTGGTTAAAAAAGCAGTAATACCAACCACTTTAATTCAATCTTAGCTATACTTATCCTTCAGTTATTATGCATCAATTAGCCCTTCCTGGCAACTAACCCCCCCCCCCGTCTTATACGTAATGGTTGGTGACTCTGTTTCAATGTATCTGAAGAAGCGCCCGCGCACACGAAAGCTTACACCCAGAACTGAACTTTGTTGGTCTTAAAGGTGCCGCTGGGCTCAAACTTTGTGATATATTTTATATTTGTTGTTTTTGGATTTGTACAGCAATTCCTTATTTTTATTTGTGAGCTGCTTTGAAGAGCAGCATACGAATGTTCAAACTAAAGGCAATTAAGCAGGTAACATAAACAGCGTGGCTTAGGGTTGCCAAATCTTGAAAACGGACCGGCGGGGGAGCGTCCTGCCGGTCCGGGAGCCGATCGTGTGCGCGCACGCGCGTGCCGCCAGAGCATCACCGGAAGTGACGTCACACGCTGGGCGGGGCCACGCCATTTGAGGGGAAAACAAAGAGTTTTCCCCTCAAATGGCAGCCATTACCCCGGCGTCGGGTAACGGGCCTCCGGGGCGGGGGGAATTCCGCCCTACCGGGGGGGGGGGTTGGCAGCCCTAGCACGGCTACATCATTACCGGGGATCTTGATGGGACGGCACCTGTGTGTGACATCATTGGGATGAGTCACGCAATTTGATTACCCCTCCAGTACTGTATTCAATCCTGCCAACCTAGCAGTTCGAAAGCAAGACATTGCAAGTAGATAAACAGGGACCACTTCGGTGGGAAGGTAACAGCGTTCCGTGCGCCTTGGTGTTTAGTCATGCTGGCCACATGACCACCGAAACGTCTTCGGACAGCGCTGGCTCTTCGGCTTGGAAACGGAGATGAGCACCGCAACCCTAGAGTCGGACTCGACTAGCTTTCGAGCAAGGGAACCTTTACCTTTTTACTGTATTCAAATCTTTGTTCTTTCTGTCGTCCCTGTTATATATTAAGCTTAAAGTGCACCAGAGAACTGACCTAGCTTGAACACCTAAACAATAGACCACTAGGATCCTGAAAGGGACTAACGGGAGTTATCTTGTAAATAGCCTATCACTGGGAGTGGGTGTGTGTTGGGTGTGGTCTTTTGCACGCATTTAAGCAGGGCTCCGGTCCTGCTAGAGTTAAGAGTTTAGCTGAAATTACTAATAAACTATGAGTTGATCACTCAACGCGTCTGAACCCAGTATATTTCACTCCCCACCCACCCAATAGAAAGGAATCGATACCCCCTCCAACCAACCACAATTCTTTTACCTCGATTTCTTTAATCTGGTTCCCGTTCAGCCAAACAACCTCCAGTTCTGTCAGATTTTCCAGATTTTCAATGGTCGAAATCCTGTTGCAGTAAAGGTAAAGCTTTTGCAAATGAATGCATTGCTGCAGACCTTCGATTTTCTGTCAAAGAGAGAACATGCAGCATTTTAAAGCAACCCCCTGTCATGATCCTAGGCCTACAGTAGTGCGGCCTACAGGCTCTAGGGAGGCCTAGTGGCTTCAGCAAAGCCTGTATTAGAGTAGCTATCAGGGCCTACATTTCCCAGGTCCCCTCTGGACCCTGTGATTGGTTAACTGTGATTGGTTAACTTATTCGGTCACTTACAAGGGGAAACCTACTGGAAAGGGAGTGTATCAAGGGGTAGGGTGGGTGCTCTGGACCGTCCGAGGAGACCCATATCAGAGTGGTGGCAGCCGTTAGAGAACTTTTCTAGCCGTTGCCCATGACACTCCCCATGGTGATCTCTAGAGCATCAAGGGACATGGCGGAATCTTCATCAGAATCCGCCAAAATAGCCTGAACCGAATCAAGCCCCAGAAGGGGGAGACGGAGATCAATGAGTCCAAAACCTTAACTGGCCTGTACATATTTTTACAAGGCCATCTATCTGCCTGTGGCTGCTGTGATTAGTTATATCAGCGGTACCCAAGATGGTGCCCTTGGTACCCATAAAATCCTTACCTGGCACCCACCAAGTGTTTTCAGAAACTGGGTGGGGCCAGTTCAGGTACCAGTTACCTGGTAACTGCTCAGCAGGGCTTCTGATTGGCCCCTGGAGATCTGATTGGCAGGGTGATCAAAGCAACATGGTTTCAGCAGCAGCTGCGACCACATTGTTGGTTTTAGTCTCTCTCATTCCTCTTTCCCGTTGTTATTTTACAAATCACTCCCCTTCTTCCCTGTACTTGGGCTGCTGTGTCAGTAGAAAAGAACCAGAGTCCAGTGGCACCTTAAAGACTAACAAAATTTGTGGCAGGGGAGGAGCTTTCCTGAGTCGCTGCTGACTTCTTCAGATACGGCTAGAATGGGAGTCCAGCTGTCCTATATTTTGGAGAGTGGAGTGATTTCAGATACCGAATGACAACAGCAGGCAAATGACAGTAGCAGGCGAATGACAGTAGCATATGTGATCGGATTAGGTGTGATATGCAGAGGGGTCGCAGGCAAGGAGAAATCACCATCGGTAATAAGACAGGAAACCTAGGTCTTGATTCAGTCCAGGGGGCTGCATTCTCTTGCGCTTCATTATCAGTTGCAATTCAGCAGTCTCTCCTCTTTCCTCTGCGTATGTGGCTCCACCTCCCATGGCAGCCATTTTGTGGCTCCGCCCACCACCCTTGTGTCAGAATCCCAAAGGTGCCCAAAAGGCTCAAAAAGGTGGAGGATACCTGAGTTATAGGTATCCTAAAGAAAATATCCCCCCCACACTTATGTAAAACTCCTCTATCCAGTCGCCTGGATGCATTTCTTATACTGAGGTCACATATAGTGAAGCGTGGGAAGGTTAAAATTGTAATTCCCTTGAAAGTGATGTCACACCACTGGCCTGACAGCCTTTTAAAAAGAGTTTAAACGGCCTTCCCTTCCCTTCCCTTCCCTTCAAGGGGGGCTTGCTCAGGCAAGCCAAGGGAAGCCATGGGGGTGTGGCCTAATATGCCAAAGAGCTGCACTGTCAGGGGTGTGGCCTAACAGGCTAATGAGTTCCGGCGGTTGGGTGTGGCCTATTATGCTAATGAGTTCCTGCTGGGCTTTCTCTACAAAAAAAAAAAGCCCTGGATAAGTTAACTTACCGTCAAGCAACACTCAGCCAGCCAAAGCTCTCTGAGGAGCAGGCAGCTCTCGAGGTTAGAAATCTTCTGGATGTTTTGCCTGACGAGAGTCAGCCTCACCAGACTGGGGAAAAACGACAGGCCGACGATCCTGGGGTAGCCCGAGAAAAACATCTCCAGGCTTTTGGCTTCGGCGCCTTCATGCTCAATTCTCTCGTAACACAGCCCGTTGCAGGTGCACTGGAAGAAAATGAAAGAGAGCGGTTATCTTGTGTGACAGAAAACAGCAGGCGTGCCACACTGAAGAAGTCTTAGTTGATAGATGGCATGGTTTTTAATCGAGGCGTGCAAATAAAACAAGACCTCTGAAGAAAAGACGATCTTTCTTGGCTTTTAGGTGGTCCCTGCCATGGTGCATGCAGGAATTCTTGTGCAGAAAAGGCATTCATAAGAGTATAAGAAGAGCCCTGCTGGATCAGACCACTGGCCAATCCATTCCAGCATCCTGTCACACACAAGGGCCAGCCAGTTCCTCTGGAGGGCCAACAACAGGGCAGAGAGGCCGAGGCCTTCATTAGAACATCAGAGGAGCCCTGCTGGATTAGACCGATAGTCCCTCTAGTCCAGCATCCTCTCTCACACAGGGGCCAACCAGTTCTTCTGGAGGGCCAACAACAGGGCACAGAGGCCGAGGCCTTCATAAGAACACAAGAAGAGCCCTGCTGGATCAAACGAGTGGTCCCTCTAGTCCAGCATCCTGTCTCACACAGGGGCCAGCCAGTTCCTCAGGAGGGCCAACAACAGGGCCCAGAGGCCGAGGCCTTCATAAGAACACAAGAGGAGCCCTGCTGGATCAGACCAGTGGTCCCTCTAGTCCAGCATCCTGTCTCACACAAGGGCCAGCCAGTTCCTCTGGAGGGCCAACAACAGGGCCCAGAGGCCGAGGCCTTCATAAGAACACAAGAGGAGCCCTGCTGGATCAGACCAGTGGTCCCTCTAGTCCAGCATCCTGTCTCACACAAGGGCCAGCCAGTTCCTCTGGAGGGCCAACCACAGGGCCCAGAGGCCGAGGCCTTCATAAAAACACAAGAAGAGACATGCTGGATCAGCCCAGTGGCCCATCTAGTCCAGCATCTTGTCTCACACAAGGGCCAACCAGTTCCCCTGGAGGGCCAACAACAGGGCAGAGAGGCCGAGGCCTTCATAAGAACATCAGAAGAGCCCTGCTGGATCAGACCAGTGGTCCATCTAGTCCAGCATCTTGTCTCACACAAGGGCCAACCAGTTCCCCTGGAGGGCCAACAACAGGGCAGAGAGGCCGAGGCCTTCATAAGAACATCAGAAGAGCCCTGCTGGATCAAACGAGTGGTCCATCTAGTCCAGCATCCTGTCTCACACAGGGGCCAACCAGTTCCCCTGGAGGGCCAACAACAGGGCCCAGAGGCCGAGGCCTTCGTAAGAACACAAGAAGAGCCCTGCTGGATCAGACCAGTGGTCCATCTAGTCCAGCATCCTGTCTCACACAGGGGCCAACCAGTTCCCCTGGAGGGCCAACAACAGGGCCCAGAGGCCGAGGCCTTCATAAGAACGTCAGAAGAGCCCTGCTGGATCAGACCTGTGGTCCATCCAGCCAGCATCCTGTCTCACACAGTGGCCAACCAGTTCCTCTGGAGGGCCAACAACAGGGCAGAGAGGCCGAGGCCTTCATAAGAACATCAGAAGAGCCCTGCTGGATCAGACCAGTGGCCCATCTAGTCCAGCATCCTGTCTCACACAGGGGCCAACCAGTTCCTCTGGAGAGCCAACAACAGGGCACAGAGGCTGAGGCCTTCCCCTGGCTCTGGGATTCAGAGGATTAATGCCTCTGAATGTGGAGGTTCCCCTTAGCCACCATGGCTCGTAGCCATTGACAGACTTATTCTCCATGAATCTATCTGATCCCCTTTTAATAAACCTGTCTATGCCTGGGGCCATCAAAACATCCTCTGGCAGTGAATTCCACATTTCAATCACTCTCTGTGTAAAGTAGTACTTCCTTTTGTCCGTCCTGAACCTACTGCCCATCGGCTTCATTGGATGCCCCCGAGTTCTATTATTTTGGGGGAGGGAGAAAACATTCCCTTTGTCAACTCTCTCCACCCCATGCATAATTTTATAAATCTCTACCATGTCCCCCCACACACACACACTTAATCGTCTCTTTTCTGGACTGAAAAGTCCCAGACTCTTCAGCCTTTCCTCCTAGGGAAGGGGCTCCAACCCCCTAATCATCTTGGTCGCCCTCCTGCCTACTTTTTCCAGCTGTGCAGTGTCCTTTTTGAGACATGGAGACCAAAACTGTACACGCTATTCCAAATGAGGTCGCACCATCATCTACACAGGGACATTACAATATTGGCCGTTTTATTTGCAATTCCCCTTCCTAATAATCCCTAACGTAGAGTATGCCTTTTTTTACTGCTGCAGTGCACCGGATTGACACCTTCATTGAGCTATCCACTCTGACCCCAAGATCTTTTTCCTTCTCAGTCTGTGTGACAGTCTGCACGGTGCAAGAGATTATTTATTTATCGTATGGCAGAATTATACACAGATAGGGCTTTTTTTTGGTAGAAAAAGCCCAGCAGGAACTCATTAGCATAACAGGCCACACCCAACAGCAGGAACTCATTAGCATATTAGACCACACCCTGACAGCACAACTCATTAGCCTATTAGGCCACACCCCCGTGCCTTCCCTTGGCTTGCCCGGGCGCCCCGTGGCTGTGGGGAGCCTGGGCAAGCCGGCCCTTGGACAGCCCGGAGAAGGCACAGGGAAGCATTTAAATGCCTCCCCGATCCTTCCAGGCCCCCTCCTGGCCCGCCCACCTCGGAGTCGCCAGGGGAGGGTCGCTCTCCAGGCCTTCCCTCTGTAGCCACGCACACAGAGGTTTTGGCTGTAGTGGGCGTGGCCAACTCTGAAGCCAGCCGGAACTCCGTTCCTGTGCGTTCCTGCCCAAAAATAGCCCTGCACACAGGAAGTATACAATAATATAAAATACGCAATTTTATATAAATATGTAATAATATAAAATATGATACAATGGGTATGCAGAAAGACTGAACAATCTCACTAAATACTACTATCTACATTTCCAATCCACTCAATTGCAGCTGGGTAAAGTTCAAAGAGCTCCGTCGCATCTCCCTGGAAAGCACAACGCTCACATTCCTGTGACAGATGAAAAATAGCTTGGTGGGCTGCAAGAGAGGAATGCCTCTTCGAAGAAGATGCCTGCCACACAGAGATTTGTAACAAATGACATGCAAAATAACTGACATTTTTAAAAAATCCGGTGCCCAGAATAAACGCATGGTCCCTCTAGCTGAGTTTTGTCTACTCAAATTCACAGTAGTGTTCCGGGTTCTCTGCCTGTCAAAGGGCCAAACTACACATTCATGTTTTCTAAAGAGTCCGGTCCAGGTTCCCTGGACCCCACTCAGGCTCCCCTCGGTCACACGGCAGCTGCAAGGAACAGCTGTTGAAATATAAAGGAGAGCCCAAACAGGTTTGGAGTGCCATTATGGGGGGAGTAAAGGCTCCTGCCTCCCCACCAAGCCGTTTTCCCACACGGAAACAGCACTGGGGGAGAGTTATTTCCAAGTATTTGCTGCTCCGTGTGCACGAAATACTCCACGTGGAGCAGCAAAAATGGGGAAATAACTCCTCCCCAATGCTCTTTCGGGAGCTGCGGTGGCTCAAGTGGTTAAGACGCTGAACTGCAGGCTGTAGAAGGTCGGTAGTTCAGCAGTTCGAGACCCGAGTGTGCCGCATGACGGAGTGAGCTCCCGTCTCTGGCCTCAGCTCCTGCCAACCTAGCAGTTCGAAAGCGAGAAATTGCAAGTAGATAAATAGGGACCACTTCGGTGGGAAGGTAACAGCGTTCCGTGCGCCTTGGTGTTTAGTCATGCCGGCCACATGACCACGGAAACGTCTTCGGACAGCGCTGGCTCTTCGGCTTTGAAACGGAGATGAGCACCGCAACCCTAGAGTCGGATTCGATTGGCTTTCGAGCAAGGGAACCCTGTACCTTTAATGCTCTTTCGGCACAGGAAAAGGGCTTGGGGGGAATGGCAGGATTCCCTCCTTCCCCTGTGGCAGTATTCCAAGGCCAAACGGGCTCTCCTTTGTTTTTTAAATAGCCGTTCCCTTTCATTTCTTTAATATTATCTAGACCATATTCTGCTACGCCGCCCCCTCCACTCACATTTCCGACTACTTCTGATTAAGCCTTTACTGCCCAGGGTCAATTCTGACAGGGCAATTAGGTTTCTCCTAGCTGGTAAGTCACCAGAAGTTACTTTACAGATTGCTGATTCTTTTGGCTAAGATTTTGGTAGCAAGGAACTATTCTCAACATTGGTGTTTTAAGACCTACAGATGTAATTTTACCTTGACGAAGTTTTATCTTACTGACTTTATATATGCCAGTTTTGGTTCTGTTCTGTCCAGGGATCATTTCGTAGAAAAAGAGGTGCAGGAGCTCATTAGCATAACTTATTTGCATATGCCACACACCCCGACATTATTGGAAGTGTGTCAGAAGGCAACACCCACTGCTCAGGCTCCACTGGACTGTTTTGTATTGCTAGCTATGGGGGGGAACGCGCAGATCTGCCCTCACAGAGAAGGGAGAGCTTGTACCTGAATAAACCTTGGCACAGGCTCCTCGTGGCCCGGGGCTGCTGGGAGCAGGGGGCGGGGCTTGTTGCATGTGGCCACCCCCTGGGCTCTTTACTGCCGGAGCTCCGCTCCTGTGCGCTCCTGCAGGAAATAACCCCTGGTTCTGTCTAATATTATCTATTTATTTATTGAAAGCCCATTCCCACGCCCACCTCTTTAAAAACAGGCATGTGATGTTTGGCCCAAAGTCCTTCCCCCTACAGCCGCTGCCCAGAGACCCTATTTATTTATTTATTTTGTTCAATTTATATCCCGCCAGTCCCACAAGCGGGCTCAGGGCGGGTAACAGCAATAGAATATACCCAGACAGTTTAAAATAATCATATAAAAACAATAATAGCTAAAACAGCTGAAGGTAAATTAATGGCCATGTTAAAAATCCCACAACAGGAGTTGTCAGAAACTGGAACTAGAACCCTTTGCTTGCAAAGCAGATGCTCCCCTAACATTTCTGATCTACCCAGAG